TCGAGAAGAGAAACCAAAGCATCGAGACAAATTGATCAAACTTCCTTCAACTACACGAGGGCTCAACAAGAAGATGAGATCCGTGATTTTGATACATACTTACTGGGCTTGGGGTCTAGTTTAGTTTAAGAACTCTTATACTTTGTTTAGAGTTTAATGTTGGGGCGTGAGGGAGGCCTAAGCCCAAAGCCCGTACCTCAAGTCTCAAACCCTCAGCCTTAAACCTCTACACCCCAAGGCTTCTAAAACGCTAAGCTGGAACCCTAGGCCTCTAAACCCCAAGCCCTAAACCCTACCTCTAAACCCTAAGCCTCCTGTCGACCGTCAAACCCCTAAACAACCCAAAACCCAAAACCCTAAACCCAAAACCCAAAACCCTAAACCCTAAACTCTAAACCCTAACCCTAAAGCCTAAGCCTCCAAGAATCCTTGAAGCCCAGGCCAGCAGCCCGGCGAGCTCGGCCTCCCAGGTGTCCTCGCCCTCCCGTCCAGTGCCGGCTGCCGCTGCCACGTTGAGGCCAGCCATGGACCGAGACAAAGCAAAAAGCAAGGCCTTTCATAGGGTTTAGGGTTTAGGGTTTAGGACGCATTTTGGGGGTTTCGGGGTGGGGATATGGTGATCAAAATAGAGGCTTGGAGATATCGGGTTCGTGCAGTCTGTCGGGTAGGGGGTATATCGAGTGTATAAAGGGTCTGTACAGGGCTCAGGCAGTGTTTGTCTATCTAGTAGGCAGGGTTTGTATAGGGTGTGTGTAGGGGTTGGATAGTGTTTTGAGGAGTGTATCGGGTTTATGTCGGGCTTCTGTAGTATGTAGGGTTTGTATAGTATGTAGGGTCTGTACAGGGTTTATGTAGGAGTCTGTAAAGGGTCTGAGAGTTGGGCTTTGGGGTTTATGTGCTCGCCGTATGCGTTACTGTCTGGGTGTTTGAGGAGTTGGACGTCTTTAGGTTCAACTCTCAGGGTTTAGGGTTTAGGGATGCTTCAGCAGGGAGGGAGAGAGGGAGAGCGAGCGAGAGTGAGAGAGCGCGGGAGAGAGAGAGCGAGAGAGAAAGAATGAGAGATAGAGGGAGAGAGCGAGAGAGGGAGAGAGGGAGCAGGTTTGACCGAGAAAGACGACACCCAGAAAATCTACGCACATACACCATAAACTCAATCCTTCAATCCTGTAACGTGGGCTCTGAAGACTTTTAAGTGCTACTCCTGAGGTTTTCTCATCAGTATAGCATACCCTTCGCCAAACCCGAGGCCCCCCTGGCCACTCGGTTCCCAAATCACGCAACGCTGTGTCGAGGGTTTGTTAGTCACAGGTCGGACACGCCGACGACTTCAGCAAAGGTCTCCCAGCCGCACGTGATTTTCGGGGCCTGTGGGGAAAGTTCCGCTTCGAGTGCGCCTGCAGTTTGGGGTGGCGGGTCTGCAGGGGGGATCTTCGGGTTTGAGTTTTTCGGTTAGGTTCTGGGATCTTGACTGAGAGTGGCTTTCTTAGCTAGGATCCCAGCGTATTGGCGAAGACAGGAAGAGCAGGAGGAGGCGGAGGAGCGGTAATTAGTCAGTCGTCGTCGTAGTGGTAGTGCCAGTCGTAGTGATACTGATCAGCACTCAAAGTGCAAGCTGTCATCCACAGTCCAGAATGTATTCACCAATATTTTGCATGTATAACCCCGCTCCCGCCGCACCAAGCAACCTTGCTGGCCCTGTCTCACCTTATCCATTACTCAGGCTATGTGTCAGCCTTCGATGAACGCCTCACCCAAATCCAAAAGCAATGCCGGAAAGCCACCTTGCCAATATTTTCGAGGAGGAGAGCGCGGATGACATGGTGCAGCTCGTTGACAACTTCGTCCAACGCTCCTGGCATGCGACTAGGGCCTTCCGGGTTGGGATTCAGGGATCCTAGGTTTCAGGATCGAGGGATGCAGATTGGTGTCTGTTCGAGTGTAGTATCTCCGGTTCGGCGTTTCGCATTTTTTGCATGTTTATGACTGCAGGGTTTAGGGGTGTTTAGAGATATCAGAGCGTCTCAGGAGCATACTAGACCACGAAAGCACCGAAGCTTTAACCCACCAGAGATCCCTGAACCCTAAACCCCACAATTCCGAAGAGGTGGCTGCAGGTGAAGCCTTTCAGCTTGATAGGCTGAAGATCTTAGGGCGGCCCTTGAACTCTGGACCCTTGAAGCAAGCTGGAGGCTTTCCAGCCCAAACCCCTAAATCCTAGTAAACCCCATAAAGTTCGACTTTCCTCACCCGAAAAACTTTACTAAACCCTGTTAGACCCTAACCCTAAGCCCCAAACTCTAAACCCTAGACCCTAAACCCGAAACCTCTAGACCCCCTCAGCCTAGCCCCTCAACCCTAAACCCTCAACCCCAAACCCAAAAACCCTAGACCCTACACGCTGAACCCTTAGAGCCTGAACCCTAAACCCTCAGACCCTAAAACCCGAAGCCCCAAAGCCTTGGAGGTTTCCTCCAACCCGAGCGGGAGGCTGGAGAGCTCAAGGCTTGGGAGGGAAGGGGAGGAGAGCGGTGGGAGGAGTTGTTTAAGGTTTTTAGAAGGTTTTGGGGTTAATAGGGTTTTAAGTTTTAAGAAGGTTTTGGGGTTTCGGGTTTTAAGAAGGTTTTGGGGTTTAGGGTTATAAGCAGGTCTTAGGGTTTATAGGGTTTTGAGAAGGTTTTGGGGTTTATAGGGTCTTAAGAAGGTTTTGGGGTTTATAGGGTTTTAAGCAGGTTTGGGGGTTTAGGGTTTTTAGAAGGTTTTGGGGGTTAGGGGTTTAGAAGGTTTTGGGGTTTAGGGGTTTAGGAGGTTTGGGGGTTTAGGGGTTTAGGAGGTTTTAGGGCTTAGGGGTTTTAGAAGGTTTTGGGGTCGAGGGTTTTAGAAGGTTTTGGGTTTAGGGGTTCAGGAGGTTTAGGGTCTTTATTTTGGAGCTTCAACTGGCCTTGACAGTCAGTTTGCCAGGAGTTTACTTGCAGGACTTCAGATTAGTTGCAGCGTCTTCCAACGTGTGTCGAAAATGGAGTGTTGTGCAGCGGCATCTCTGTAGATCTTCTGGAAACCAAGCGAGAAGTATCCCTAAACCCTAAACCCTAAGCCCTAAAGGAGTATTACGCCTTAAGCCTCAGATGCAGGACGGAGTTGGCCGACGCCACCAGGGTGCACCGGCCACAGTCGAGCCGGGCACGGCCTACGAGGCCCCAGGAGGGGCGAGAGCTGGTCTCGTTTTCTGGAGATTCAATGTGTAAGGTTTAGGAACTACAGGCCTGTTCTGGTTTAGGGCTTCGGGTTTAGGGTCCCCTGACAGAAGCTGAACAAAGGACGTGCGCTAATTTTGCAGATGCCGAGGCTTTCTAGTGTCTCTCCTGCACATAGAACTGGTCCAGTACTCAGGGGCCTGCTTGAGGCCGACGGTGGAGGAAGGTCAGCTACGTGAAGGGTTTGCGGTTCCTTTGCTGCTCACAACTGACCGATTGACTCGTACCCCAAAGCCACTACTCTGCGCCGTCTACGCCCTCCTCCTCCATTGCCTCAACCCTCAACCCTAAACCCTCAACCCTAAACCCAAAACCCTCAACCCTAAACCCTCAACCCGAACCCTGAACCCGAAGCCCTGCACAATCCTCCAACTTCCCCAGTAACAGGTCGGATCTCACCTTCGCGGCTTGCCGAGTGTGGAGGGTCCCTCCCCCGTGGGAGAGCTGCAGGAAGCTTCCGTGCTGCCTGCGAGTAGTGATAGTCATAGTCATAGAGTAATAGAAGAAACAGTAGCAATAACTATTGCTGTGAGCCATCGGAGTAATCATGGCAATAGTGGTAAACATGGTAACAATAGTAGTAATAGCAAGAACAGTAGGAATAGTAACCATAGTCATAATTGTAAGAATAGTAGTCGTATTAATGAAAGTAATAATAGTAATACTAGTGATCATAGTATAATTTGTAACAAGACTAACGGTAGCAACAATAATAAAATTGCAATAATAGCTACGACGGTGACGGTAATAAGAGTAGTACTCAGAAGAATGGCAACAATAGTACTGCTGCTACTACTACTAATAATAATAACAACAATAAGAATACTAACAACAATAACAATAGTAATAACAACAATAATAGTTGGAACAGCAATACAAATAGCAAATAAATTGTCGCAATCATTGTAACCATAGTTATAATCGTGGCAATAGTAGTAATCGTCATGAGAGCAGTACTAGTAGATCTAGCAGAAAGAGTGATAATAGGAATACTTGAAATAGTGGCAATACTAGCAACAATTTGTAATAAGAGTAGTTGTTTCAGTTTTGTCAGTATCACTCTGCTGCTAGTATGAGGCATGATGACATCATGAGTCTTGTGTTTACGATTGCAGTATCTTGCCGGTCATGATCTGATGCTGACGAAGATGGGGATTGCGACACTGATGGTCTGCAATACGACTAATACGTAGTCCCACCACCACCACCACGATGGGAAGATGCGAAGGAATGCACAGGAAGTGCGTACGGGAGTACTGGTCGTACATGCAGTCATGGCGGCATGAGAAGTGCAGGTGGTCGTAGTTTTTAAGTAGTGCTCCTCCAGCAAACCCTAAACCCTAAACCCTGAACCCTGTAGTTTTTAAACCCTAAACCCTATAGTTTTTAAGTGCTCCTCCAGCCGAGGGGGGACTTGGCTGACTCAGGCGAAGTCCAGCCCGGCGGGCATCGCCCAAGCACCGCGCAGAGGCATTCAGCAACAGCCAGCCTTTGCTGCGGATTTCTGGTTTAAGGTTTGGGGTTTAGGGTTTCGGAGTTTAGGGTTTAGAGTTTGGCTGCAGGGAAAGGTGCCATTTGAGCGGCTTCATGGTTCCGATGCTAGTTTGGAGACTGGCTTTGGAAGAAAGCTTGGCTTCATGCACCCTGCACATGTCCACCGCCGCAGTGGTTCGGATCAAGTCACGAACCCGATTACTATGCTTTAGCCATAAGCTTTACGGCTGCCGTGGAAACCAACACGGCGTAGCCATGTTCCGTGTGGGCTTCTTTCAGGGCATCATCGTCGCCCTGCTGGCCCCTATCATCGCAGAGAAAGGAACCGACCTAGATACTCAGCCGCTTCATTTCTTTTTGATCTTGCATGGGAGGAGCATGACACAAATGCGTGTGCTTGAATTTGTTTGGGGTAAGTGGGAATAGATGGATAGTAGCTAGGTCGGTCGGTCGGTCGGTAGGTAGGTAGGTATGTAGACAGATAGATGGGCAGAAAGATAGACAGATGGACAGATGGATAGATCAAGAAATGGAGAAATAGATGAATGGATAAAAATCAAAGCGCGCACACGCACACACATGTGTACATCTGCATACACACATACGTACTTGCACATGTGTACACATTTGTACATATAAAGAAACGGCGTTTGTAGATATAGGTACAGGTATAGATGCAGATTTCGGTATAGGTATAAACATGCAGAGAGGGAGAGAGGGTAAAGGGTAATTGCAAACGAACAAAGAGGCACTAAGGTGATACATGGCTTGGGTAGGTGGCTTGTTAGTTAGATAGGTAGATCGATAGATCTGCGGATAGGCAGGTAGGTAGGTAGATACATAGATAGACAGGCAGGCAGACAGAAAGAGAGAGAGAGAGGGGGGGAGAGAGAGAGAGAGAGAGAGAGAGAAAAAAAAGACATAGATAGACAGAACGACAGACAGACGGACGGACGGACAGACAGACAGACAGCTAGATACATAGATAGATACCGAGATAGCCAGATAGGTTTAGATAGCTAGATAGGTAGGAAGATACACAGACAGATCGCTAGGGTCGGTAGGTCGGTAGGTGGTAGGTGGATAGAGAGATATAGGGTATGTATGTATGTATGCATACTTGCCTGTAAGTATATGTGTGTATGTGTGTGTGTGCATTAGTTATGCGAAGCAGCCTTCTCCGGCTCACCGAGGAGGACTCTTTGTTGGAGGCTCTGGGCCAGGAAATCGACAGCGAGGACTGGTCTCTGTCTCCCTCTTTGTGACTATAAGTATATGTAAATATAAATATAAATATAAATGAAAGACATAAATACCTAAATACATAGATATATATGTATACATGTGCGTATATACACCTTTATGGTCACTTCACTTAAATACCCCTAAACCTTGAACCATAAACCCTAAACCCCGATAGATATTAAAGTAGCTTCAATTTGGCCAATATCTCCCTTTAACCCCTTTCTCTCTACATATGCATTTTTTATGTATGTGTATGCATCTGTATATGTACATATGCCTTTATGATAGCTTCAGTTCTATACGAAGAGCGCAGAGGACTGCAGTCTGCTGAACGAGGGACCCAGCTGCCAGGCGTCGGCCTTCCTCCAGACAGGTGGGGGTCTTAGGGGACTTTGAAGGGAACTTTAAGGGGGCCCCTTCAAGGGTTCCTGTAAGGGTGGGGGTTTGGGGGATGTTTTAGGGTGATTCAGGGGTCCTTTTAATGGTTCTTTTAGGGGTGAAAGGGTTTTGGAGGTTTACGCTACTTAGTAGGTGTTTAGGGGATTGATTAAGAGTTTGGTTTAGGGTTTTGTCGTCAGGAGTTTAGGGTTAAAAACGGACCGCCTGCGCCGGTTGACTGATGGTTCGAGGGCTTCGCTGTATCAGCGTCTGGGCCTGAGTTTGGGCCCCCCTTCAATCGCCAGTTTAGGCGATCCAGGTACCTAAACCCGTAAACCCCTAAACCCTTAAACCCTAAACCCTAAACCCTTAAACCCGTAAACCCTAAACCACCCCCCAAATCCTAAACCCTTAAACCCCCGAAATCCTAAGCCCTTATATACCCCAAACCCTGAGAGCCCTAAACCCTCGATCGAAGTAGTCCTTGAGGAGAGGAGTCGGAGTCTCTCCTGGGCTCGGGATAGCGGAGCTTCACTCGGGCTACCATAGTATCTTAAAATATATATATATATATGTATGTATGTATGTATGTATGTATGTATGTATGTATGTATGTATGTATAATGTATAATGTATAATGTATAATGTATAATGTATAATGTATAATGTATAATGTATAATGTATAATGTATAATGTAGAATGTATAATGTATAATGTATAATGTATAATGTATAATGTATATGTATATGTATATGTGTAAAAATAGCACATATAATTATATATATATGATCATTATAGATCCTTGTTCCGGTAACTTAAGACCTACCATAAGAAGGAAAGCCTAGCATCATTGCTGATCTCTGTTGTGGTAATGTAAGCTACCATACTGAGGAAGCCCTGTTGAGAAGTTCTCTAATTTAGGATCCTTTTCGGGTCCCCAAAGTAGCACGGCACGCTTATGAAAGCTATTTAGAGAACAAGCCATCCGATGACTCTATCTATCTATCTATCTATCTATCTCTATATGTATGTATGTATGTATGTATGTATGTATGTATGCATGCATGCATGCATGCATGCATGTATGTATGTATGTATGTATGTATATACATATATATCTATCCTTGTTTTGTGGGAACTGAAGGCCCTGCCTCTCAGGTGCAGCCCTGCGGTGGTCGGAGTCCCTGAGAACGGAGAAAGCGGAGGTTCCCCGGATCTCCGAGCCGCTTTCCTTCCTGGAGCTGCAGGAGGAGACAGGCACCGAGGCGGCCGTCGGAGAGGTGCATAGCAGCAGAACTGCCGAAGAGGTGGGAGAGCTCTCTCAGAAGGTGGGGGAGGTGCATGCAGATCGATCCCAGCAGCTTCTGAGGCAATGGCAGGAGGATGGCGTGGAGTTGTATGCTGCAGCACAGGCAGCGCCCTCCGTGGGCAGCTTCGCATCTGAAGCCACGGACGCTCTTAAAAACGGCCTAGCCGGCGGCCACCAAGCGAAAGGCATTACCGGCTTCGCAATCTGCATCGCCCTTCTCGTGGTTGTGAGCGTTGCCTCCCTGGTCGCAGTGCTCTACTGGGGCCCTTGGCTCTGGAAGTTAGATCAGCCGATGCCTCAGTGGCTGCCGGAGGCCCTTTCGCAGGACCTCGTCGCGCGCGAGGCGAAGGCCCCGGAGCTGGAGGAGGGGGAGGGGCCTCCTCCTCCCAAGCAGGCCTCCGAGCTTCCTTCCGAGGCGAAGCGGGAGGCGAAGCTTTCGGAAGTCCCCAAGCTTACCACGTCTTCTCACGCAGAGGCAGGGCTCCAGGAGCGACTCCGGCAGCTGGTCCTCGAGGCGGCGGTTTGCCAGGAGGAGAACCTGGAGCAGGTCTTGCCCTCTGCGGCGGGCTACGACTGTGCTTTGTCCAAGCCCGTGAGCAGCGGCTGTGCCGTGAAGTTGCTCTGCCGCATCGAGGGAGCTTTGCCAGGGGGCCCTCCGCCACTGGGCCTTCTGAGAGCACCCCTCAGCCAGCGCAGCTGCGTCCTCTTCAGGTCTGTCGCGGAAGGTGCGCTGCCAAAGAAGTCCGAGGAGGCCGTGGACTTCCAGGTCTCCCTGGTTTCGGCGCCCTGGATCCGCATCGACGTCTTGGGCCACGAGGTGAAGCTCCTAGAAACTCCCCATAAGGATCAGGAGGCCTTCACGCCCTACCAGGCCTTCGGCGACTTGCCCAAGCACTGGAAGCACTTCGTCTCCCCGGTGCCGGAGCCCAAAGCCTCCTTCCTCCCCCCGATCCCCGCACCCCCACAGCCCGCTTTGGAGAGGGAGGTCTTCCGGTTCCGCGAGGAGCTTCTGCAGGTGGGCGCCGAGGTGATCCTGTGTGGGGAGCTGATCCGAGACTCCAGCGGCCGAATCTTCCTACAGCCATGGCAGGAGAACATAGGGACGGGGATGTGTGGGATTATGGAGTTGGGGGGTCGTATATAGCTCAGGGTTCAGGGTGCCACATGGCAGGAGAACTTCGAGAACTCCTCTTGGCGCACCTCCTGGGAGCTGGAGGGCTGCCTGGATCTGAGGCCTGCGGTGCTGGCCTCCACGGAGGCTGCTCTGATGGAAGTACCGGGCAAGGTCCCTACGGCGGAGAGCTGCTTCGATGAGTTTGCTGTGATGGTGCCATGAGCTCCTATTGAATTGGCACCACAAGGATGCGCCTGCTCAGTGAAGGGTGGAGCTGTGCTTGCAAGACTATGCACTTGACCTTGCGCATCATCGCAAAACAGGCTGTGGCCTTGCAGACCTTGCTGCCTTCCTGTTCCAGTCCATGAGCCACCCTAAACCCTAAACCCCTAAACCCTAAACCCCGAAGCCCTCAGACGCCGTCAGGACAGGAGCCGGTGCTGGCCCAAAGCAGGCCCTGAACCGGAGCGCATCGGAGGGTGCGCAGAAACCAGCCGAGGAGGGCCTGACATCTGTTGAGAGCTGCGACTCGCATTGTGACTTTGGTCTGGGTCCACCAATTTTAGGCGGATTGCGGGCATGCTGCGGTCAGCAACATCCCGTTGTGCATTCCATCCGAAGAGTCGAGGACCTTAAACCTCCTTGAGTCTCAGCACGCCTTCGGTTCCCAAGTTTCAGTCCCAAGCCCTAGCTAGACTAAACCCCAAGCCCTATACACTGCGAACGGCCGCGGTCCTGGAGGTCGAGGGTTCGCCTTTCGTTGGCCAAGTTCAGTGTTCGGTACATGACCCAAGCGTCTAAGACAGGAGGCGGTCAACAGGTTGTAGAAATTTGGGCTGTGAGCTTGCTTGGACTTGCTAATATTATGATTACTTTTAGTACATGGTGCCGGGAATTTAGAACCACGAATGTTTCCGGGTCATCTTGATGATCTTACAATCTTGTCAGCTTGGTCATCTTGCTCGGCCATCTGGTCATCTTGGCGGGGGTCAAGATGGCCCGCTTGCCCGACTAGTTTACCATTTAGACCAAGATAACTTGTCAGGTTGCACCCACCCTTCAAGCGGGGCAGGTGGGGCAAGATGCCTGCGATTGTTGGTCATCGTGCACCCCTTAGTGGTCCTAAATTCCCGGCGCACTCTTTGAGCATTAGGCGCAGTATGATTATTGTTAGTATTGTCAGTATTATGAGTATTATGATTATTGTGAGTATTATGACTATTATGATTATCATGAGTATTACTAGTTTTAGTATTGTGATTATGTTATTGTCATTCAGCAAGGGCTCGTAAGAAGAAGGAGATTCTGCTGGCCAGGACCGCACACCAGCACAAACGCCTGCGTCGCGTGGCCTGCTGCAGCCTTTCTATCTCATGGATCTTGTAGAGAATCCTTCTCTTTCTCCCACAGAAACCTGCAGCGATCTTCGCCATCTGGCCGCTATGGATGAGGTGCCTGTGGTGTGAAACTTTGTTCAACAGTGCCGAGGGTGACAGCATGTAGAGAAAGAAGCCAAAAACAACTTCTGAGTTGACTAGGCAGACTTTGATTGAGTGTTTGCCTTGGCCTCATAGGTCCTGTTCTGATTTGGTCGGAGATCACTTAACCTCCGTTGAAGCCGTGATCCCCCCGTGCTGGGGGAGAGGGGTCAAAAAAAAATTTA